TGTCCCCGCAGTGTCCCCGCCTCCTCCGCCGGCCCCGCTCGCGTTGCAGCCCCAGGGGTTCCCGTGGCCCGGGACAGACGCGCTCAGGTCGGCACCGAGCCGGGGCAGGGCCGGGGCGAAGGTCAGGGCTCGGGGCACCGGGACAATCGCTGCCGACCTTTAAAACTAACGCGGGGAACGCGAACCGCCGGCTGGGGAAAGGATGGGTGAGTACCTGGCAGGCAGGAGGGGTTCTAGAGCCCGCTTCATCCATGCACCCTGTCAAGAGACCTTTGTGCAGCGTTAATTTGCCCGGTAAAACACGCACTTTAGGGAATGGCGATTCCCCCGAGATTTGCCGATGAGCCATTTCATCAAGAAAGAAACGGCAGGGTTTTAACTTCAGGTTTTAGGATWAGAAGGAGAAATTTTGCCAGAGAGGTAGGAGGAAACAGTAGCAGAGAAACTGAGTCATGCACAAATGAGAGTACACAGCAGGTACGCACATGGTAAACTTCATTTGAACTTGTTTACAAAATTGACAAAAAAATATCACCTTGTAAACTTATTCACATTTGTTGGAGCTCACAGAACTGGTTATACTGGCATGCTGAAATAAAGATTGTCAAGCCTCATCTCACCCTGGAGGACACACAAGTGAGTTTTGACCCCTTACAGCAGCAACAAACTCAGCGAGGAACAAGATTTAAAGCTTGCATCGGGAGGGAATTTTCTCCAGCAGTTTTTGTACCACCAGGGAAAGGGCTGGGTCTGGTTCCTGATGCTCCCTCAAACAGAAGAGCATCAGCACAGGCAGTTTGGATAAAATCTGAAAGCTGTGATGAGCTTTGGGCATCACCTCACCCAGTGCAGTCAAGGGCCATCAATTGCATCAGAAATGGAAGCAGTGGAGAAAAAGATGGAATTTATCAAGTAATACTTTGTCATTTCCTGAAATTTGCCCTATGTTCAAAGGCCTCCAAAGAGCACGGACCCTGTTCCTAAAAGGGACCATTCAGGGAAGGAGGGAGGAAGGGCAGGGGGAGAGAAGATGCACAGTATTTTTTCACATAAACAAAACTCAGGTATTTTTTCAAAATGACCAGCAGCTTAGCCCTCTACCATCAAATCTGAACTGCAAGACAGGAGYTTTCCCCAGCTCTAAACCACACTGCTCAGCCTCAGCAGCTGCACAAGGACAAAATGGAAGAAAACTGAAAAACACACTTGGACGCATTTTTTGGTAACCACTTCTTCTGGTTTCACTCTCAGAGCTCAGATTTCAGAAATGGAAGCACACAGACATCGTATTTCTGAGATAACCCACACATTGCAGTAACAGTCAGATCATAAATGTGTATGAACAAAGATGACTTCAAAATAAACCAAACTTCAGTTGTATTCCAGGGAATGAACCAACACAATGCAGGCCTGGCCAGGAGCATCCTCCTTTGAAAATCAGGGAAGAGCTTGGCTCAGCCCTCAAAGGCAGGAAAACTCTTGCCAAGGTCATCTCCAGCACAGAGTTAACATCACCCAACCCAGGAATATTTTTGGTATAGTGTCCCCTCCCCTGAACAGAAGCCCAGCACTGGGGACTGCATAATACAACAAAATCCCAAATATTAAAGCAATTACAGTTAATAGAAACCCTTCACTTTCTACACCCCAGGCTGCTTTAGAAAGCGCTGTTAACAATTAAGAATAAAACATTACAAAGTTACCGAGACAGAAAAGAAGAAGTCTGATCTCTTTAGACTTTGAGGTACATTATCAGCAGTTGGGTTAGCAGTCTCCAGAGTTTTAAAAACAAAATTCCAACCTGTGGGACTGAGCACCACAGCAAAGTACTTGGAAGACATCCCGTTATCCCTACCGGCAGCATCCGTGGGATTCGGCTCCACCTCCCTGCTCCAACGGGTTCCCAGTGCCAGGGCTCCCTTAGCTGGGCTGAACTGAGCAAACTTGGGAGGGTTGGGGGGAGGAGAAAAAAAAACGAGTGAAGATTTTTATTTTTTTTTAATATATATATAAATAATTCACAAACCGGTTTGTGCAAATTTTTTTTATTTCCACATTTATATCACAACGTGTCCACTTAAAGGACCAAATAGCAAAGTTGCTCCCTTCTGCATCCCAGGAACACAGAAGTCTAGTTACTGTACATTCACTAAGGCTCTTTGTTTTTGCAAATTGCGTTTATGATGGATATCCATAAGGCAAACAATATCTAAAGGAATGGTAACAAGTATATTTCCAGCATACAAACAGGCTTCCTTTTTCCCTCTCACAGTACAGTTACAAACTTGTAGCACCCTCATTACATTTAGATTCTAGAAAAGGTGATTTTTCTCTTTTTTTTTGTTTTTTTTTTCTCTTTTTGTTTTTTTTGTCTTTTTGTGGTTTTTTTACCTATAAGTTTGCAGGAAGGGAAAAGGAGGAAAAATATTTGGCTGGTGGTGGTGGGATCAAAAAATATCGTTAAACATCTAGTTTTTGCAGCATTTCTCAGAGACTGGATTTAAACTGAAACCAGACTAAAATATGTGGATGCCTATGGAATGTTGAGCTGAAGCTGGTGGCCCAGCCTGCAGTGCAACACCTGCTGTTTAAAACCCAATCTCCGTACCACATGACTCTTAAATAACGCAATCATGTTCAGAGATGTGATAGAAATAAAACTACAGTTTTTGCACATCGTCTCTCGAATATCTCACTGCCAAATAAAAACCCAAATCAAGTCAAATAAATAGATGCATATTTTGTTAAGGTAACTTCCACAATTTTTTTTCTTTTTCTCTGTACCTGCCTGTAATAAGATTCCGGCATTCAGAAAGTGCTGGAAATCCTCTTCACTTCTTGGGGACTAACACTTTTTTATAGCTGGCTCGCTATAGAGTTTTGAACTCAAAACTGATCAAACCTTCGTATGCCTTCCTTTGCAAATTGTTAGTAAACTGGTAGCAGCATTTCACAAAAGGAGAATTTAAAGGAACGAGCTGGAAAAGCCCAGCTCCCTCCCCCCCTCTGCTCGTGGGGCCTGTTTGTCCAGGACAGGAGGCTCTATCTCTCTCTCCCAGCTGGAAGTGGCATCGTGTCTGCCAGTTTTGCTAACTGCAGGTGTAAAAAGCGCGCTTAGCAAAACTGCTCTCAGTCTAGGCAGACGTAAGGCAGGATGTTCAATCTCCCATCATCCCCGTGTGGATCTAAGGATATGCACTGTGTCCAATCATACCAGTTACCCTGTGTGTCATAACAACCGTTCACGCCCGGCCAGTTGTGGTCACGTATTCTGTCGAGGTCATCGCCYGTGACCTCTCTGGTGACCCCAGGCAAGTCTGTAGGTTTGCTGTTAGGAGCTAGAACGTGAGTCTTTCTAGCCTCTTTTCTAGTGCTTTCCTCCTGCTTTAAATACTCAGACATGAAGTAGTGAGCTCCTGGAGTCTGTACTCCTGATGAAGACAGCAAGCTACTCTGTCTGTTTAAATATGACTGAATGATTTCATTTCTGGACAACTCTTTCCAGTTCGTTTGTTCAAAGGGGCTTTGCAGGTTGGGTTTTTGCTCCTGCTTTTCCGTTTCTGTCCTGTGCTGTTCAGTAAGCGCAGGCATTTCTACCTGCAAAGGATCTTTCGGTGTTAAAGGTTTTATCTGTCCTGTCATGGGATCAAAAGTGAGTTTTCTCTCTTTTAACCTCACCGGTTTCACACCCCCTTCTGTCACGTGCCCATCCAGGTTGACCGTGTAGTCTCTGGGTCGGTACCTTTTCTTCTTTTTACTATCRGACCCTGAAGCAGCGTCGTCACTGTCCGGTTTGGAAGCGTCCTGCGGGAATCCCGTGTGCGGCGGCRGCGCTTCCCCGGCGTGCCCTTTGCAGCCGGGAGCCGTGTGCCTGTGCTGGCTCTCGGTGCCTCCCTGCTGCTCCTGCCAGGGCTGTGTCACCTCGGGGGCCGCCTGAGGGGGGAACTCCAGTCTCTTGGCTGGCATGGGAGGTGTGGATGGTTGCATCAGGGATGGCGGCGGCGATGGCACCTGTGCAGTGTCTAAGAACTGAGACCTTTGAGATGGACTGGGCATCGAATCCTTTGGTGAGTACGTGGTGTGCTGCCGAGCGAACGTGTCATGCCTAACATTCCTGGGGCTAAAGGAGGAGCAGCGAGGGCTCTTGGGCTGGTGGGGGCCCGTGGCTTCTTCTGATTTTTCATGCTGCTGAAGCACTGCAGTCTTTAGTAACGAGGAAGTGCTTGAAGGTTTTACGAGTCCTGGAGAACTGGTGTGAGGTTTTACAGCGTTTACTGGGATCTTATTGTGTTTATCGTTTTCACTGAGATCTGTCCTGCTGCTCTCAGGCCCTGCGTGSAGGTTTATGTCTACAGGACTAGGAAAATTTTCAGGACTTCCTCCAATTCCATTGGTTGGAGGGGGTGAAGAGTTCTGTAATACTTCATGACTAGCTTTGGAGACCTTTGGGGGAGGAGGGCCCTGATGCCCGTCCCTGTGATCGCCTTTCCTTTTCCGATTTCCTAATTTCTCTGCTTTCGGAGAATTGAGTTTCTGGATATCGTTCCTGCTTTTCAGTTCGCTGATGGGCTTCGAGCCRGCCACGGCGGGAAGTTGTGTGTCTGGTTTGCAGTTGTGAGCGCCGCCGTTCGCGGATCCCGGCGGGTTGGGCAGCCCCCTTGGCACTGGCTCATTCTGCGTTACGGGTTCGATCAATTTTTGCCAATTCCGCAACAATTTCTTGGCACGTTTGGCAAGTTCCTCGTTGGACGTCTTCTTCCTCAC